GAGCCTGCTTCTCCCTCTCCCACTCCCCCTGCTTGTGTTCCCTCTCTCGCTGTCTCTCTCTCTGTCAAATAAATAAATAAAATCTTTAAAAAAAAAAATAAACTGCACAACTGTAAACTTAGAGGTCTGATGGGTATGGATTGTAAGGATGTAATGTGTAACAGAGTAACTCTTTTCAGCTGCAATTTTTTAACCAAAAGAGTGTGACCTTATAATCCTTGTTGAGAGCTAGATAAAGTAAATTTAAGACTACAGTCCCCCAATCCCTGCTTGAAGATTTTTCAGACTCTAAGATTAAAGAATTTCCCTCACTGAATCCTGGAAATCTTGAAATCTAGTTCTCCTACATTCAGGGGTAGTCTTTGTAGAATGCTTCTTTAGAATGGTAACCCATGAGAGTCTCTATTCAAAATATCAGTGACCTCTGAGGGGTGAAGTTTTTGACCCCCAAACTCCAACTTCAGTGATGCTATAAAAAAAAAATCAAAAGTAGTAGTTGATTTTTGCTAAGAGTACGGCAAAGTGAAATTATGATTTTGTTACCACTGAAACCCATTTTCCCAATCTATCCTCACATCAGTGAAGCAATCCATCAAAGGCAACCTGGTTTTTTCCATTCTGTGGCTGGCCACTCTGGCCTTTTACTTACCAGTGAGACAGGAGGGAAGAAACATGATTTGAAAATCTGATAAATTCGAGCATTAGGTAGCTTGTGAACTCTATAAGGTATAGTGTGAGCAAAGATGGCTGTGTCAGTGATTTAAGTACCTAGAAACTGCCCTTTGAAAGATCTGTAGAAAGATCTGATTTGTGAAACCCTGATCTTGCCCAGTATCATTTTATAATTGTTTGACGAAGGGCTCTGAAAGACTCAGAAACTCAGTGCTTTTCACCGAGTCTACAGGAGTACATATCACAGAGCTCTAGAATCTCCTTGATTGAATCCAGAAAATACTCCTATCCCCAGCTAGACACAAATCACAAATTATCCACTTCCTCCTCTTTTCAGGAAGAAAATATTTAGCTTAGTTTCCGCATGAGTCCACGGACTTCTGCCTAGCACAAATCATATAGAAACTCTCTAGGAGCTGACCCTATTCTCTTAAATGAAGAGATAAATGCAATTTGTGTACACGTAACATTGGCCACCTTTATAAAGCTTGTTGCTATCATTTTGCCTTTCCCTCAAAGAGCTTTAGCATTGCCTAAAAAAAAGAAGAAAAGAAAAACGAAGAAAAAAATAATGCTCATGGCTTTTCTGCCCCTGTTGGTTAAACATCCTATTACACTCACCTGGCATAAGAGATTTTGTGCAGCCAATTTTATAAGATGACTCAAAGTTGTCGTTTTGTTCAGAACGATTTATTTCTCTTAGTGGCATCAAATGCTATAAATCTCCTGGATGCTCCTGTTCACAGTTGGTGGAAAAACACGAGGATGGACTCTGTCTTTCCCAGAGGTGCTTGGTAGCATTTGATTAGCAGCCAGGCATGCAGCAGCTTCATGAATCGTCTTTTTTTGTTTTCTGTTTGCAGATTTTATTCTTCACCGTACAGTATTGCAACCAACCGCATGATTCCACAGACATCTATCACGCCATTCATTGCTGCTTCCCCTGTCTCCACATACCAGGTATGTCTGATTTACCTGCACCTGAGGAGAGGTCTTTCTGGCCAATGATAGACTATCTTGAGGCAAAAGGGACACTGTAGAATGTTTTTTAATTATCCTCAAACACATCAGTCACATCTTCATGTAATAATACTCAAGTTTTAGCCCACACTGTGAAGGGCTTGTTTGCATCTATTTGAGTACTAAAGTCCACCGTGTTCTTCATTCTTCCGGCTGAGTTTTTATGATTATGCTCCTTTCCAGCCAACATTAATTAGTGCAGCCTTCTTGCCACTGAGAACCTACTTTGGTGGTTGTCGGTTATTTGGGTTGTCATGTTCCCTGTTGTGTCTTCTCTACAAGCACACATCGGGCATTCCCCTCACTCACTCCAGGATATTTTATCATTGTCTTCTCATTTTGTCACAGTTTTCCTGTGTGTCCATGTACGTTTACATGGACAGATGTTAAATCATTTTCCCCAAGAGATAGGGAGGACTCTCAAAGTGGTAAAACGTTATTCCTGCTTTCTGCTCTTACTTCATTCTCAGTCCCAAAGAGGTCAAAAGAGACCTCACAGGTTCCACATGTCGAAAAACAAAAAAAGCCAAGACTCAGTGTGTGTCCTAAAGCAGGTGTTGTAGCCAGTCAGTTCTAAGTACACAGGTGGATTAAAATAGTCATACTTCTCCCTCAAAAAATACTCCTTGTCTTATGCCTATGAGTTATCGAATGTGCTATTACTCCCTGCTTCTCTTTACCTCATATTGTTCTTCAGACAATTCTTCTAATTCTAATTAGACAGTGCCTATAGATGCTACATATAGAGGGTGCCTAGTGTCACTTTTCCCAACTTTGGAGAGAGAAAGAGTGAGAGAGAGTGTACGTGTGTGCATGCATGTGTTTCTCTGTATTTTGCAGATGGTGGGGGTGGATGTTTTACGATGGGTAAAACTGTAATGTCGCTGATTGCTACTAATTCAGTGAAGTTTCACCTTATTCAACCATTACATAATTCATTTCAGGATGTCCCAGCTGTCAGAGCATCAAACTTGAGACTATATACATTTTTCCTTAAATGATTCCCCCTGAAGCAGATCATTTTCATTCTTTTTCTGCACTTAGGTTCTTGATACATGTCGGTGGGTGAACTGAATAGACTTTCATGTGAATTGCATTTGAGGGTCTCAAAATGGATGATTTCTTAATTGCCTTTTCTTGGGACCCATGAGGCTACGTGCAGGTGCTGTTCCGTTTTTGTTCTTCCTGCAGGCCTGCCTGGTTGTAACGTGTGTTTTTGTTTTGTTTTGTTTTGTTTTTTGGTGTGTGTGTGTTTTTTTTACGCATTTTTTAAAAAATCCAGGCCTATGTTTCAGCCAAGACCACCCAATGAGCCCCAGTGTAGAGCACTTTGGTGACATGAATAAAATATCCACAGAAAAGTGATTTCACTTGGGAGGGCTCATAAGTGGAACTTAACTCTAGCTCCTTTTTTTCAAAAAAGGAATCAGAGCAATTTCCTCTGTTGTTGATTCTCGCCTTTCACCACTTTCTTTTTTAACGTAAAGTGCATTGGCGATTTTGTTAGTATGAGCGTATTCAAAACAAAGTGTTCAGGGTTCTCTGTGTGACAATCAGCCCTTACAAGCTGACTTTCTCATTTGGCTGACAAGGCACATTTCTGAACAGTTGGTTGGCTCAAATTCTCATTTTTATTTGCCATACCGATTACCATGAAAGAAAAAAAATCACAAACTTGCTTAACTTGAGTTTAACCCAAATCATTCCCCCAAATTTCTGATTGATCTCTTTACTTCTTCCCCCAACTTTGACCACTTGGACTTATTTCCAAGATGGGATCACTTGAGAATTTGAAATTAGAACCAATGACAGAAAAAGAGGAAGTCTTAGCTGTCAACTCTTCATTACTTACTTCTACCCTGGGAGTTGACCTCTAACTAGCAGGTCCCTGAGGCTTCCTAAGACTCCAGCCTCTGACACCAACCTCAAATTATGCTCCAAGGCCCAGCCTGGTCCATGTGGGCACTGCAGCCAGCACCGGTGAAGTAGGAATTTGCTTACATTTTACCATGTTTTGGGGACCAAATTAACCAGGTCCAAGAATTTCCTTTCTATCCTTAGTTCTGAGCACTAATTAGCTATAAAGTCAGATGGACTCCACTTTCTTATGACCTAGTGTGACTCCACTGAACGCAAGAACCAAGTTCTCTCTGTGATTGCTTTGTGCTAATAAATGCTGTTTGATGCATAGGTCCAGAGTACTTCATGGATGCCTCATCCGCCATACGTTATGCAACCAACAGTAAGTGTTCTCAGTCACCTGAGGCTAAATATTTCTATTATCCAAGTGCAAGCTTTTGTAATGCATAGAAGCTTTGGGGTAAAGCTTTTGTTATATTCCATACCTCTTTCAGGCAGCCATATTTTCCAGATGAAAAGCTGTTCCTGAAATTCTACAAAAGCATGTACAATAGATAGATGGTAGAGTTAGAGAGAAAGAGAGAGAGGTGAAAGAAAGAGAAAGAGAGAGATGAGAGAGAGAGAGATGAGACAGAGAGAGAACAAACTTTGGAGGAAATAGCAGTCAACCTCCTAAGCTGATGTCTACCATTTGTTATGAATGGGAAATTTCTACTTCATGCAGGAATTCTGAACTCTGGACAATTAAATCCACTTATAGGGAGAAAGTCTGTTTTACTTCTCCTGTAATGCTTATTCTCTTTGGATGCAGTTGGATGTGCTTTGGGGGCAATTTTTAGTATCATGCCCAAGCGTTGACTCAAAGCAATATATTTGAAACATGAAGATAGTTGTGTACTAATAGATGAAGATATATATAGATAGAAAGCAAGGTTGCTAGATACTTTGTTTTAGGTTAAATAACTAGGGCCATTCTCTTTTTTTCTTTAGTGGAAAATCTCTTCTAAAAATATTTAAACTCTATTTTCTACTTGCTATATTTCCCATTTTGTGGCACAATATTATTTAAATCCCAAGGGAAAATATTACATATTTCATTAGAATCTAGACTGAAGGCTAATGATTCCATTTATCTTTGTCTAGGTTTTCCAGGTTTTCTAGCTCTGTAGAAGTATAAGATCGAGTGATTTCAATAGCAATATATATTCGTGAGAATGGGAAGCAGGGGGGTAGAGAACTAGACAGAAAGTCAAGTGACGAGGTCTGTGGACTACTCTCCTGAGCATGCTCACATCTGTGCCTTTGTTTCCTTTTCTGTCGCTATATTAATGGGGCTATTGGAAGGATCAAATGAGAGCATATGTGAAAACAGTTTTTAAAGTATGACATGCTATACATTATTATTGACATTATCCTTCTTACTATAGAATGTATTAGTTGTACAAGGAAAAAGCAATGCTACATTTTAACCCATTTAAAAGCTAAATATCAATAAGTTAGCACACATTAAAGACCAGGGAACTAAATTCAGAGGCATCCATTTCTTGGAGTCAAAGGATCATAACACCTGGTTTTCATATTTGAGCTTTGTCCATTTTTTTTAAAAAAGAAGGAACATTCTGCATTGCTCTTAATGTTTAGATTGTTTTTTATTTAAAGAATAAAATATATATAGCTTAGAACACAGAACTTTAGACCATATTTTTCAAATTCCTCTATTTACTCTTATTTACACACCTCGGGGGCTTCCTGAGTTCCTCTGGTCTATGTTCTGTAAATCATATCAACATACAATGAATCCAGGCTACACTTTCATATCCAAGTCATGAGATAAAATACAGTATACACTGCCAAGCCAATATATAGCACAGACTGAGCCGACACAGGGAAAGAGAAGTTCGGCCAAGTTCTAAAGTGGAGACTTTCTAGAAGGGAAAAAATACCTTATAAAAAATAATATCTTCATATCCAGGGCACTAATGATAGCTTATTCCTCACACCGAGGTGACAGATCATCTCATCGTGGCCAAAGGGAATGCACATCTGCAAAAATCCAAATATTTTCCCAGATGTCAAAATATGTAAGATTCTACCAGTACTTCTAAAACTGTGAGCAGAAGGGAAGATGTTTGTATGTGTCTTTACTTCAACTGTCACTCAGGACATTAGCAAAATTTTTCTTCCTCCTCCACCCCAGCATGGCTTCAGCCCCATTTTTGGATGTATTATTTCTCATACATCTTTCTCCAGCAATAGCTCTGTGTGTGTGTGTGTGTGTGTGTGTGTGTGTGTGTGTGTGAATTTATCCCCTTGGATATTCCTTGCTATGGCTACTGCTCACTGATATCTTATCACTCACTTCCTGTGACTAGACAGTGCATCATGTTTGAGTTTAGGTTACTCGGTTTAAAATACAATATTTGTGGCTGGGGCAGATTCCTGGAAAAAGGAGTGCCTGGGCCACCCACCACTTTGTTGTCTTTAACATGGAATAACTGGCTAAACAGTGTCATGGAAACAGAGTTTGTGCCATCAATCTTTTCCCTGAAACAGTCTTGCTAGTTGTCTATATTGCATAAATAACCTTACCCAACCAGTCTTAATTTCATCATCAAAATGGGAGTTAAATTAGTCACTGTACGATTAAAATACAAAATAAATAAGAAATGATAAAATACAAAAATACTTAAGCAATCTAAGGCAGATAAAACAAATACCTGGATCTGAGAAGAATGAATGAATGACGTGATGATTAATGGCATGAGTCGTTGGTTAGGCTCTTTGAGACAGGAAACCTTTCTGTTATGCAACTCTGGGCAATTAAACTTTCTGAGTCACAGTTTCCTCATCTGTAATATACACATACTAATGCCTAAATAATTATGCACTTTCTTCATTAAAGGAAATAAGGTATTAAAGCTCCTAAAATTGAGCCTGGCAAATAGCAAACACTCAGCAAATCACTATTATTATTACTTAGTTATATGAGTACACTGAACATTATACTTGAGATTAGCCCAATTATATAACATGAGAGTTGGTATAGAAGAAAGTTGAGAATAAGCAATAATCACCTATTTCTACCACATCTGTACTATTTATTTAACTTACTTTGCTAATGAGTTTTTGGAGATAGCCCTATGGCTATAAATAAGACAAATTGCTTAGACTGGTACATTTTTCATTTACTTACTAAACCATTCAATACCTAAGCCAGGAAAAAAAGGCCTATTGGGTACCTCCTTTATGTTAATAATTAGAACCTACTTTACAAGTAAATTCAAGGTGTACACTATCTACATATCTTGAATACATTGCCCATAATTCTGATTTGCTTACAACTGTTCTCCTCTCTCATGTTTTCTCTCCCGCCATTTTGAGAAAATCTCATGTATAAGCTCGAAGTGTAAACATGTTTCTCCCCCATCACTGTGAATGCACACTGACTCCTACACTGGAGACAGAAGCCCTTCAGGTTTTCTTTCAGGCCTGACTCAAAGGACTCCAAGATTTCAACTGGGCTTGTATCCAAAGAGACTTCAGGAAAGTCTTAAAGTAGAACACTCTGCCTCTGGTCTTTACCAGGGTAGATGAATGGTTAAAATGGGGGTGGGGGGAGGAGACAGGTAAGGATTAGCAAGAGAGAAATGAAATGATGGGAAGAAGGAAAAGAAGTAGGCAAGGGATGAGAGAACAGAAATAGTAAGCCTAAAGTTGAAGTGTGCCATTTAAGTTTGTTTCTTTAGAGATTTAATTTTGAGTTGTGTTGTATTATACTTTGTAGATTTAGAAAAAGATTCTGAGAGGCTTTTCACTTTTTTTTTTTAATAGAGGGAGAGAGGGTGGTGAGGGGGAGAGGGAGAGAGAGAGAATCTTAAGCAGGCTACACACCCAGCACTGAGCCCCACACGTCACTCCATCTCACCACCCTGAGATCATGACCTGAGCCGAAATCAAGAGTCCCACACTTAACCGACTGAGCCACCCAAGCACCCTGAGGCTTTTCACTATTAAGGAAGAGGGGAGAAATTCTCCTTGACTGCGTTATAACTATCATCCTGGTATTTGTGCAAGAAAACAGTTCTCTGTCAGTTAGTGGATTCTGGGACCTTATCAGGTCCCCTGGAAAGTTGTCAAACCCCACTTAGGACAGCAAGAACATTTCTTTTTTTTTTTTTTTA